GTGTGTGTGTGTGTGTGTGTGTGTGTGTGTGTGTGTGTGTATGGTAAGTGGTTAGTCAGGTCCCTCTGGCCACTGTGTCATTAGCGGGAGGCTAACTTGGTTTTTGTGGCTCGTATTGTGCTTAATCGCTTGACAGCTCTTGGTTAACCTGTGGTTTGCCACCGCACAGACGACTCATCGACTGTGTGTATACATGCGCCCGTGTGTGCTCTCACATGCAGATGTGCGTATCCGTTTGCTCACGTGCGTTTCTCGCAGCGCCTGTGTCTGCTGGTGTGCCCCCACATGACATGGTTTGCAGAATGTGTGTTATTGGTGTCATTAGTCTAGTGTAGCCACAGTGCTGATTTGGAGCAGAGCTAATAGGTCTCATTAAATGTCATTTTGAGCTAATAGACAGGGAGTGGTTGTTTAAACCAATATGCTTTTATAGGTGGTTCTGTCTCCTTTCAGCTGCTCCTGACGGTGGCTGTGGCCAGCTGAGACAAACTTCCTGAGTGATAATAGCCGAGCCGTATTAACGCAATATACAAGCCTTTCTGTCCAAACCCACTATTCTCATTATAGTTAATTGATGACAGACAAGCACAGAGGGTGACAAAAACCATTGTGGCATTACACATACTGTGTCTTGCTGTGGCGTAACACGGTGGTTATTTCTCATAACTTGGTGTGTGTGACGCGTGTGTGCGCGAATGTTGTGTGTCAGCAGTGGAGGTTAGCGGTCAGGCCCGTCTCTGCACTATGGGGTTTGAAGCCGTATGGTCTCGGGGGTTCTGGGCATGGGGACGGGGTCGTGTTTTGGTTCAGGTTTGGTCAGGGTGTTAACAAGTCTGGTGAAGAAGCCATGGTACTTACAAGCCTGCAGACAATATTAGTGGTTCAGGAGACCTGTCTGCCAAGCCAAACTCGTGCAACACACACACACTCTCACACACACTTAGATGCACAATACTTCCATATGGAGTTATGCTTCTCTATGTACTTGATGATAATAACTTAACTTGCAGCTACTTGGTGCTTTGAAGAGTAAAACTGAAGACAAGAGTGTGTGCATATTTTCAATAATATTATGAAATAAATGATTTTAAAAAACATTTTTACAAATATATATATGTACCCCCAAAACAGGAAAATCAACGCTGGCTTTCCTAACCAGGAATTCCAAAGCTGGGGAGTCCTCACGGCAAAAGTTCCATCATTGTTTTCACAAATCTGGATTAGGAATATCCAGAATAAAACGCTGCTTACTCTAATATATATAATTAGATTATTTCTCTTGAACAAGATAATTTTCATTAAAACCTCGTACGTTTCAGTTTAGCTGGAAAAAGATGACTCAGGACTTTGGCATTAGGAGTGGTGCATGATTGATAGAGAAACAAAAACATGTCACTTAATTAGCAGTGTTACTACTTGGTGAGCTTTTGTTGTGGAGCTTATTAAATTAATGAGTTTAAACTGAATGAGTGATACTTAATTTACAGTAAAGAACACGGAGAAAATAACAGCCAACAAAAGAGTTGCTATTTTGTAATAAAATGAACTGACACTTTATTAAAACTGAAAATAAACCGATCGCAGACACACTCTGACACAGATTTGCTGCTCTTTCATTTTTAGTGGTTTCTTTTCTTTATCACCTTATTGTGATTCCTGTGGGCAGCTTGTGTCAATATTGCTGTGTTGTGAGCTTCTCTGTGATTGGTTCTTGTCTGGCACACTCTCAGCTGGGTTAATACGCAAAATGTAGTGCCTACTGTTGGATATAATGATACAAAAAAATGCCTCCAAACATTTATATATTACACACCTACAAATGCCATTGCAGGGGCTTGTACAGTAAGTGCTAAAGTGCCATTTGCATTAAACCGTTAAATTCAAATGATGTCAGACAGATACCATTTAATATCCTTGAATTATGTTCAGGAATGAAGCCCTCTACGTGTCTGGATTATTGTACCCTTTCAGTTACTGCCTTAAGCAGTAACTGAAGCAGTGTTCTTTTGTTCATCATCCAAGTAATTAAAGAGGATTTCAGAAGATTCACCTATCGGCTACAGCCACACTTGAAACAGCTTTTACAATGGTAGCTGAACAAATAAAAGTCATCCAAACATCAGGAGGGAAAAAAAGGCAATGAAATGAACGATGAACAGAGTAGGAAGGTGGGGAAAAGGGCAGAGGGAAAAAAGAAAAGAAATACTTCAGGCTTTTCTAGAGGCGGCCAGTCACTTGAATGTCTTATGAAGTCCCTTGAAGACGTGCCAAGGCGTCTAAAGAACAAAATAATCCAGTGGGAGGGAGAGACAAAGAAGACAACAGAAGAATGGAGAGCGAGAAAGGGAGGCAGAAGTGAATCATAAGGAGATATAAAGATAACGAGACAGAGTCTGGGTTTGTTTGGCCCCGAGATGCGACAAAAACATCTCAGATGGATTTGTTCTCCCCTGTTCTGAATCAAAAGACATTAATGCGAGCAGAGAGGTGCAGAAGGAGCCTGTCTGAAAGCCACACATGAGCTAAACTCTGTGTGTGTGTGCGTTTGGTGGGTGGTGTGTGTGTGCGCGCTGGTGCTCTTTAAACTTTGTACAGTATTGTACAAATGTGTATAAAGTGTGTTTGCATTCAATAAATGTATCGCCTTTGGGAATTTTGTGTGTGCGCGTGTGTGTGTGTGCCCTTCCCTTGCCTGGCTAGCTTCCTCCGGGCTGGAACGCATGGACCACACAGACGGCTGGCAGCGCTCCACGACAGCCTGGCTCCCCCTTTCC